TCAATCACACTTTGGATCCTTTTCAATCTCTGCCTCTTTTAGCTTCATTCTATAATAAACACAGTGCTTAAGTTTTGCATTTTCTGTGCTATTAAAAAAAAAATGAGCTGCTAACTCTAGATCACATCTTTCACTATTGACCTTCAAACTCAAAATGCAGTGAATGTCATTGTTTGTTTTTCAAATATAAGAAAGCTTTTAAAAGGCATCTGACATGCTGAAGTTGAATGGGAGAGTTGTAAAAACCTGACATTACTCTGATTCTTTTCATTTTGTATGTAACTTGCTTGTTTTCAAATCACACTGCTATTCTATTCTCTGAAGAAAGTCATGAGATATTCAATAATGGCTAAAACATGAGGAATAATTAGGAAAGGAAAATGCATTGTTCTCTGGAAACAGTGAGCCTTACATAGAACCTGGTTTTGAATGTCTATGTTACTTTAATATTGAAGTTAAGATGCAGCTATGGAATAAGTTTGCAACTAACATCACAGTGCTCAGCATGACTAATAATTAGCCAAAAAACATAACTAGTAGTTCATCAAGATTCCTCTTGTATTTAGAACAAATACAAGTGCCAGGTTTATTTTTACTTGCTTAAGCATGATGTAAGGTTTCTTCCACTGGAAAATCCCCTATTAGTAAATTTATCTGGATTATATAATATTGTCCATGGGGCTTTTTCTCCTCCTGATGACTTGTACCTATGGAATTCACTTTATAAACAAAATTCTCTGTGTGTGACTTCAGTGGTGTTCACAAGTAACCCCTCTCTACATAGCCCACTTCAGTGCGTGCTGTCTGCAGGCATTGGCCCATCCAATCCTGCCGTCAGGACACCGACAGCACTGCTCACAGAAGCCTGTTGACTCATCTGAATGGATGCACTTCAGAGGCTCTGTTTGGGATTTTTTGGGAACGACAGAGGGAAAACACATGCAACAGCCTGCTGCCCATGCAGCACTCAGCAGAAGTTGGCAATGGCCTACATTGTTCCACGTCTCATTTGATTTTGCAAGACAACAGATGAAAATGTCATATCCCAAAAGGCCTGGAAGGACTCTTCTAAAACCAGGAGAGCTGACACTAGATCTGCAAGTGAATTTGGGCTCATCAAAGTGGATGGCTAGTTGTAGCACCTGCAGAAGGGGCAGAATTTTGAAAGAAGTAAAAATTAAAACATGTGCCAGTGTGCCCAGAGTCTTGGCCTGTAGGAATATTCCAAATAGGACGAAAAGACGTGAGATGCTAGGATAAATATCTTTTAAATATGCATAGTAACACTACAGAGCATTTGTACACAGAATGGGGAAAGAAACTCTTGAAGATCATCTAAAATAAGTATTTCCCTTAGATTTCAGAGGCTGGTGTTTAGATAAGGCAGGGTTTGTTTTTATTGCATTTTCTACCAGGTGTACATCAGGAAGACATTTCTTCATATCAGATCATTAACTGTAATAGAGTTAGGAAATTGTGATGCTAAGCACTAACAATACATGAACTGTGTTAGTCTGATGAAGTTCAATTAGTAAAAAAAAAATCCACATACAGAAACTTAAATTATGCCCTTCACAAAATAAAAAATATATGTATTGCTTTCTATACATGAAAGGGATGAAAAAGATCATGGTTTGGCTTTTTTAAATAAAAAGTGAAATTTCTGTGCTGAAATGCTGAGTGTTGGCATATAATAGAATGAAGGGAGCCTTTGTTTGGAATAATCCCCAAAGGGTTACTTTTTCTACTGGGACTTCTTTTGTCCCAGTGTTGGACACACAAATAGCCTACAAAAATATCTGCCAGCAATACTTACTAACAAATAAATTACTATTTTCTGTTTAAGAATCATCAACAAAGGAGAAACTGGGTGCTGAGAAGAGCACTTTTTACCTATACATCAATACATTCAGTCTGTTTTCTGGAAAAATGTCCCTTTCAGGTTCAAAAATCAGTGATTTTTGGTGATGATCCACTGTAGTTCCTGATACGTTGTTGTATGCCATGACCATGACTCAAAGGCCAGGATAGAAAGTCTTTTTATGATATAAATGCAGAAATCTTTAGTAAGTAACACAGTAGGTTATTGCAATTGTTGGGAATATACATTTTCAAATCACAGAATCATAGAATCATTAAGGTTGGAGAAGACCTGTAAAACCATCTAGTCCAATTGCCAGCCCTTCCCCACCATGCCCACTGACCACATCCCTCAGTGCTACATCTCCATGGTTCTTGAATGCCTCCAGGGACAGTGACTCCACCACCTTCCTGGGCAGCCTGTCCCATTGCCTCACTGCTCTTTCTCTGAAGAAATTTTTCCTAAAATCCAACTTGAACCTTCCCTGGTGCAGCTTAAGGCCATTGGGTGTTACTGTATCACTGTTACCTGGGAAAATAAGACAATACCCACCTCAATGCATCCTTAATGGGAGAGAGCAGTAAGGTCTTTTCTGATCCTTTCAGTTACAGAATGCTATCAGTTTAGAAACCGGAGCTATTTATCAGCTGATGAGGAGAACTGTATGACTGTATGCAATGTGCTGTGTAAGATTTTGTCTCCATCTCCTGTTGTTGTTTGCACAACCTTCCATAGCAGAAGCCTGAACATATGCTACAGAGCCCTCAGAAGAGAAAGGATGCCTTTCGACTCAGTTACAGGTAAAGCTAGGAGAGCCAAGACTGTGGTTTTGCCATGTGTCCAAAAAAAAAAAGCAGTACAACTCTGAACAGGAGAAGGTGGAAAAGTCTAGTACCCCAGCAGATCCATAGCTTCTCACACCTACCAGTAGCAGGTGTGAGCCCAGATGCACCTTTCCAAGAGGTGGGTATGCTGACCCCAGTAGCTGCCTGCCTTTGCAATGTTCAGCCTTGTGTTACAGGCATGCAAAGCTCAAACTTCTTCTGCTCAACCACCATAGCTGCTAACCCCAGTTCCAGCACAGCCTGGAGCCACACCGTGACCTTCCACTTGCACTCTGGCTTAACTGTGATATTTCACTCAATCACAGCATTTCCTGGTTGCCTTTTATTAGTAGGGTGGTAAATGTTACATCACACTATCTTGCTCCAGAGTGCAGACTTCCCTGGAGAGCCAAGTGTGCCCCAGCAGTGCTGTAAGAAACCTTTTCCCTTCATTTTCTGTGGGAAAATAATGTGTTTTTGTCTCAGCCAAGGGGGACGTATTTTATATCTGTGCAGCAGGAGGAACTCATGGGCCTGGTGAGTTTTTTATTGAGCCCTGCTGGGAAGCCCTAAAATTAACAGCGAAGGAGAAGCATGCTCTGTGCACCTATGCAACCTGTCCTGCTCAGTGATGGCTCCTTTGGGTAAAACTGAAGCCATCCATCTGAGACTGCAGGAAAACTGTGAGGAGAGGTAGAATGAGTTCCCTGAAACATTCAAGCCCCACCTCTTTTGCTTAGAAAAATAAACTAGGCTGTGCAAATACTTTACTGATCACAAAATCTACTGGCAAAATTATTGTATTCTACATTTTGTACAAAAGGGAAAATAAATGCTTGCAAAGACTTCAGTGTAGATTTTTATGTCAAATCCAATAAAGGGAAAAAAGCCATGAGCACTAGTCAGTATCTGAACTGATATGAAATAAAAAGCCATTTTTGTTAAAGATGGTTGACATAAACTACAGAAATTTTTAATAAATCCTTTTGTATAGGAACTGCTGAGTCACGGCCTGAACCTCTGATTGATCACCTGAGGCGAGCCATGAGTCAGCCAGAGGAGCACAGGTGAAGGCAATTCACCTGTGTTGCCAGAAGGGGTGGAGCCTGGCTCCAGCCCTCCTAGACCTATTTAAGAGCTGGCTGCCAGTGGGGAAGGATCTCATCTGGAGATTGCTTTCACTGGTGTTTTGTGAGTGAGCCCAGGATGGGGTAAGCCTTCTCTTTTGTTATCATAGTCTGTTTTGCCTAACTTTCTTGATTATTTTGTGATTATAACATCCTAATATTCTCTGTTTATACGCATTTCAACCAGAAAGAGGTAACAAATTCAGTTTAAACTTAGGGGGATTGTTTTACAGGATGAAGAAAGGGAAATTGAAAGTAGAACTGAAGGGCAAGACAGGATACATAAGAATACAACAAGAAACAGGGTAAGAGGTTTTCTACAGGTAAACAGCAGTGATAGAGTGAGAGAAAAGAAGAAAAATAGGGAACAAGGGCAAAGGAGAGGAAAAAAAAAAAAAAAATAAGGAAAGCAGGATGAAGGGATTTTAAACAGAAAGGAACTAGAACTCAGAAGTGAGTTCTCACCATGACTATAAAAGCAAAAGATACCAGCGTGCCCATCGCTTTCATTTCATCTGCTGTATGGTCTCGTAACCAATCTTTGGTGTCCTCAAAGGACTCAGTTGTTTCTACCTAGTGCTCTAGATGTGCTAGACCAGGTAAGCACGATGAAAGCTCTTCCTGAGACTCCCAGGAAAGCATCGAGTTCCCTTTCTCCCAGACTACATAAGGAAAAACACCACAGGCCAGATCTGATGCTCATGGCACTGCCAGGAAATGTTATTCCAGTCATAATCTATAGTCATTGGAGAAACAGTTCACCTCATGGAAAGGTAATACATATGAGGTGGGTGATTCTTAATGTGCATTTACTATTGTGGTGCCATTAAGGTTTTTTACAGAGACAGCATGCATTCTCCAGGAGAGCTCTGAAGGCTTTGCAGTAAGTGTGGGAAGATTCATTTTCTAAATGACTAAAATGCTTATTTCCCTCATGTGTTGTCTTTTTTTGCATGAAAGTTGTATTTCAGATGTTCAAGTACATGTTACACTGTAAATACTATTTTCAATTATAATATTGTAGGTCAAATCCTTTTGGTTCTTCCAGCCATGACCTAACCAGCACCATCTTACAAGGCCTGGCTTAGATTACCGTATGACTAATATTTAGCTGACTTGTTTCAAATCAGTAAGAAATATTTGTTTTGCCTTGTAAACTTAAATTTTTTTTTTTTTTTTTTTTGAAAGCCCAGCACTCTACATCCTGAACCCATCTTTCTTTCTTTGAAGTAACAAACACTGTTTGCTCATGGGACCTGAAGTTCAGCATAATGGTATCAACTGAAGTGCTTCAGTTCCACTTCACTCAATCTGAAGATTTGAATTTGTTCTTATGAAACTTCTCAATTTTCCAGAAACTGTACTTTCCTGGTGGGTTCCAATTATATCTGTGTACTGCCTGACAGCCAGGCAGAAACACACCATCAAGGCAATGGCATTTGAACTACTTTGTGGCTAGCTTTGGCAGCAGGAAAAGTTCTTCATGTCCTAATTCATAAGTCATCCATTTTCTTTCTGGAAAGCTTCCTTTAAAAGACAAACTGACTTGGCATGATGATAAATGATCACAAACTTAAATCACAGAAGGCAAAGTACCTTCTGAACTATTTTTTTTCTTTTTCTTTTTCTTTTTTTTTTTTTTTTAACTCAAAAAGAAAAGCAGATGACCTTTGCAAAATTTCCAGTGAGGTAAGTAAGGTTCATATTCCTCAGTCAGAAACAGCTTCTCCTTTTTCTTTGAAAATAAGTGAATAGTTGGGCAGCTGAGAAAGGCTGATAGAACTTTCCCTTAGTGTATAGAATGAGCATCTGACCCATTATGATACAGAGATCAAATGTTTAATTGTAATATTTATGCTATAACATAGCAACATAGAGTTCTTGTCTAGACTTGTTTCGTGGCCTATTTTAAAAAAAAAATAGGGGGAAGATACAAAAGTTTCAATAAAATTCTTACCTTTTATTTTTCTCCTGTGACTAACTCATGAATAGTAAACACATAATTAGCTACACAGAGAGGAGGGTGTTTTGATCATCAAGAATATTAAGAATATATTCTCTTGCTAAAGAAAAGGGTAAGACTTGTTCTCAGATACTGCTGACTCGAGGAAAGGATCTTATTATGCGCATGTTGCTTAGCTGTCTAGATGATCTACCATGGAATTAAAGCTCTCCCTGTGATTTTGAGCAGCTAGAGCTGGAGTGCCTTGTGAATTCACTAAGAGAGGAGTTTGCTTGCTCTGTTACTGGTATTCAACTCAGAGCCTCATGAAATCAACTGAATATGAGTCTTCCACAACACATGCCTATAAACTGTGGGGAATCCCTTTTGGGACACTGTATTTGTTGATTCAGGGCTAAGTGACTCAATTTGCTGTTTATTTAAACATTCCATTCACTAGTACATAGCCACATAAAACGTGGAATCACATTCTTATGAAAATCCTAGAGGCTAAGAGGCCACTGCCCCATACACTAGGTGTAGGTTTCACCTAGTCTGTACTTCTAGGATAAGAGTACAGACTTTAAGGATAATTTACAACATTTTTAGTCTGACCCCAAGACCTTACAATCCACACTGGACACTCTCAACATAAAAGTCTTAAGAAGCGTATCACCACCTTAGATCTCATAAAAAGCATTTTATAATAGGAGGTACAAAAAGAAAAGGAAGTGTCTTTATCTTTTTCCTAAAGAAAACTCATTTACATTTTTAAGATAATGCAGAATTGTTGAAATGAATAAGTATAACAAATATTCACACCAGTGTCACATGGTATTTTATGACAGGCGCTTTGATATATGAGAAGCTTTTTTTCTCAGATGCTGCTTGTTTTTTGGCCAACATGTTTTTCTTCTTAGCTGCTTGAGACAGAGAAATTTCAAGTAGACCTTATATGTTTTGGCAAATTTTCTGGTTGTGATGGGCTGTATGTTTTGGGAGGGCAGTCCTGCTTTATCACTGGAGAATGTAAGGCAAGTAGTCGAAGAAATGGAAGAAATGGGGATGCTCTCAGTGCTACTTTGCACATAGAGCACTTTGATAGTATCTTTGCTGAAATCTAATGTTCAAGAAGTTGAACAGTTCCTGTGACAGCACCTTGCAGAACTGTATAAATTTACTGAAAATGTTCTTCTTTTCTGACAGCCTCTAAGAATTGTTTTTCTCTGAAAGACAGCAGGAGCCTGGTTCTGCTTATGCTCTCTGTACCATCAGCTTGCAATAGCTGGTTGACTGAAGTTGCTTAAATGCAAGAAAAAAAATTCCACTTAACCACAAAAAGTGGTTCTGCTTTCACTGTGATTATAAAGACAATGAATGTTGTGGTGTCCTTCCCAGAGCTGGGACAAGAACAGGTCACCATTTTCTTTAAAAATAAATATAGATATGATCAAAGTTCTTTTCTTCATCAAATATGTTTTAGGTTCTTAGATGGGTCTGTTAATTCCAAGTAGCTGGTATATTTCATTTTCTGCACCTCAGTGTGGATCCATACAAAAGAAAAAGGTACATGGACACCAAGAAATATTTAGCAGCTAGGAACAAGGAGAGACTGAGTCTGTTTGGAAATATCTGCCATTGGCAATGGTTCATGATCTTGGCATATAGAAAAAGATTCAACTTATTACAAAAATATTTGTATGTGAACTTACAAAACTGGTTTTTTTTTTTTTTCATATTTGGATTTATTTGTGGTATGCTGTCAATATTAAGATGTTACAATATTCCTTATGAGTCAAAAGTGCCTTTTTTCCTTTATATAGAAACTTCACTTCAAAAAATGAAAAAAAAAAAAAAAAAAAAAAAGGCTCTTACTACTGCAAAGATCAAGTGTCTATCTCTGGGAGACTGTTATGTTCCTTTTTCAGGAGCCAGGGCTTAACAATGCTGTAGGAAAAAAAAAAAATAAAAAATCTATATGACAAATCTTGTAGTACAAGTTTTTGTGGTTAACCGAGAAACATGCCACGAGTCAAGCCTTTGGAAAGAGTTTAGTAATTAAAGACAAATGCTATGACATAATCATTTACACGCAGCAGAAAGATTTTTAGATTAAATCTGGCCTGACCCATTGCTCAGCAAGTGTTATCTGGGATTCTGAAAGTCATTCATTTATTTATGTACTAATTTGGCCCACATGTTTTATTAAAAACAAAAGCCTACATTTCTCAGAGGGGCAAGCTCCATTCCAACCCTGGTTAATGAGTTTGATCAAGGAAGGAATGGACCTGTTCCAATGGGTGCTATATGGCGGTGCTCATAAAAACAACTGAGAAAGTTTTGGCTTTAGAGTAACTTTCTTAACCAAAAATTTATGCTCTTTAATTGTATTTTTTCACGTAAATGAATGACCCCTGCTCAGCTGCATTATCAGTCATGCACTACTACTCTACGCAAACTCTAAAAGTTTAAATGACCTCTGCAAATGTGAAATTTTTGAGAACCAAGGCTGACTGTATTGAGTAAGTTGGTCCATAAAGGTAAGTCAGTGAAGAAATCAGCTAATTTGACTGCGGCATCTGGAAACTGTATGTACATATATACAGTTTTTTTCCTTCAAGGAATATGTGTATACATATATATATATACAGACACTTATACATTTAGAAGTGTGTGTGTGTATATGCATATATATATATATATATACATAAACACAACAGACACACCTGTGCATATGTCTAGATATTGTTGGATGCAGATCATAGAATCATCATATATTGGCTTGTTTTGGAAGGGACCTCAAATATCATCCAGTTCCAAATTCCTGCCCCAGGCAGGGTTGCTGACCACTAAATCAGGCACCAGATCAGGCTGCCCAGGGCCCTATCCAAACTTGCCATAAACCCCTCCAGGGATTGATCATCCATTGCCTTTCCGTACAGCCTGTTCTACAGGCTCTGTTCCACAGAGATGTTGTTCCATCAAGATTAAATCTGATTTTCTTGTATTGCAGTAAGTAAATAATGCAGCCATACTGATAAAGAAACACAGGAAAGATCAAGGTAGGTTATCTTTTTGATCTGGTGTAGGGAGAAATGGGGAAGTGTAGCCAAAAGACAGATGTAGGCAAAGACTTGAATAGAAATAGAGAGCAAATCTCTGGTAGTGAAATACTGGGTTAATTTCTTCCTTCCTTTCCCCACTCTGCTCTTCCATTTTGTCAGAAGGATAAGTACTGTGGGCAAATGGTATAGAAGGGATTGGAGAACAAAATAGAAGAGGAAGAAGGACTAAACTTGAAATTTCTGCAGAAAAACAGAGGCTTTTTCCAAATGGAAACATACTCTCCAAAGTCTGGTTTTTGTAGTCAGAAAGCGACCACGCTCCCCTCATGCAGGGCAGTGAATTTCTGAAGCAGTGTTGTAAGCAGCTGTCAGGAAGGTAAAGTTTGCCCTTATTTTAAGTTGGTCCTCAGACATGAAAAAAGCTTCTACAGACCTACTCATTTTGTGCCCACTCCCACAGAGGCATCAGGTAATGGAGCAGTACCAGTGTGCAGAGGCATACAGCCAGTGTCACCTCTTGGCAAGTCTGGGGCCTTGCAGAGTGTGTGATATCAATGCTTGTGTGAGAAGAGAAGCACTTTGGAGGAGAGAAAAATGAAAAAAATGAGTATATGTTGCCCCAGGTACAGGTGAAAGTGCTGCTGGACTTCTCCATAGCACTGAATCCAGCTGTTAATTCTGACTGGAAGTGAAAGGAAACCAGTGCCCTCTCCTCAGCTTTGCAAATCCTCATTGCACCAAGACTGGCACACCACCTGGAGCATGCTCTTACAAGTGTAGAACCAGGGGCTTTAGCCCTGCACATTAAAATAGTAAGAAAATGATTGCAATATAAGCTGGTATCATCTAGTGTGTGTTTTTCACCCTTCGTTCATCTAAATTTCAAATAGAGGTGAAAAAGAGTGGCTTTTTTAATTTGCTGGCACAAGTATTTTTTAATTCAATGCTTAGAACAAGTGAAATATGACTCAAAGATGCATTTGCCATTAATAAGTGTTTGGCACTGGTATTTAAACAGCTTTTTTTTTTTTTTTTTTTTTTTTTTTTAAATCTGTGCAAATTTAAACTTCACTTAAGCCTCACAAACCCAAGATTTAGAAGCTAATGAACAGTGACTGACAATAGGTAGATGGTCCCCTGAGCTTCGCCTGTTTGCTGTAGATAACAAAGGTTTGTGAGATTACTCTCAAAGTGCTTGCCTAAGCCTGGATATCTGCTGAGATACTTTATCCTTTTATGAGGGTGAATCCAGAGTGCACTGAGTAATGGATAATAAAATTAGTTTGAGGGAAAGAACGAGGAGAAAAAAAAAAAAAAAAAGGAGATAAGCACAGTAAAATAAGCTCAAATGACTTCACTGCTCAGTAATGACTCCTACCAAATAACTGCATTGTAGTTTTATCTTTCCAACCAAGATTGTGTTAATGCTCTAAAATTAAATCTCTTGTGAAAGTTATCTGGAATTTCTCAAACAAGTTTTAAAGGGGTTTATTTTTTCATCAGAGGTCATGCCTCAAGAATTTGTAGGAATTCCGCCTGGAAAGTAATAATCAGTGGAAACTGGCAGTCAAAGCTAATTTATATTACTCTTCCAGATAAAAATTCCTTCCGTCTTAGACCTGCATTTCAAAAAAGATGATTATCACTCTTGAGAGAATACATCAGTGAAAAAAGAGAAGGAATGACTCAAGAGACGTCTCTCCTGCATCTGTAGATTTGGATTTTATGATTTTTTTTATTTTTTTTTAATAATCCTGCCGAAATGTGTGAAGGACAGACAAAAGAGTAGGAAGGGCAGGAGGAGAGGTATGAATGAGGAGGAACCAAAGGAAACTTAAGAAACCAGCTGGTATGTAACTCCCCAGTGGTTTCAGAATAAGTGATCTCAAAGCAGGATGATGCTTCACCAAATAGAGAAGTCATAGCCTGTGCTTTGCTATTTTTTTTATTTTTTTTTTTATTGTTCTGTTCTACCGTGTCTGTCACTACTGTATCTGGCTTTCTGTCAAGATTCAGTTTAATAGGTTAACTGCTTGCAAGAGGAAAAATAAACACATCTCAACTCAGCTGATGTAGGAAAGGAGTTTAAGGGACTATGTACTTACAGAGTAAGAAAAGCAGGACGCAGTAGGAAGTCAAGATGATAGCACCTTTGGCAATGACACCTGAGGTGACTACTATGTGCTGGTATTTGTGCTAAACCCTACTGGGACAGCAAAGCAGACTCTGCCCTCAAAACGCCATGGGCTGCTCTCAGCTTGATTTAAAGGGATGTCAGCAAGATCTGCTATGAGTTCTCAGTCATCTGCAGTGCTGGTCAGTGCAGAGATTTGGGCACAGTGGACACTGGGCTTGTGTCAGTCTTGTTGCTGAAGCAGAAGCCAGCAGTCAGCAGCACTGCACCACGTGATCCAAGTGTAGAAACCCACGCTGAGCAACCCCATGCAGGCAGAGAGGTGGTTTACTCACTGGATCTTAGCCTGAGATACTGCCAAATGCTACACAGCCCTTATGCACATTACAAAACAATATGGTTTTGCTGTTCTCCCACAGAGTCATGCTAGATTAGAAATTTTCCTGTTCAAGCACAAAGCAGAACATTTGTGAATATAGGAAGCCTTCTATTTA